ATACTGCAAAAGCAACCAAAGAGTTTTTTTTAAGGGAAAGAAGTGGAATGTTATGCAATGGCCAAGTCAATCACCTGACCTGAATCCGATTGAGCATGCATTTCACTTGCTGAAGACAAAAGTGAAGAGAAAATGCCCCAAGAACAAGCAGGAACTGAAGACAGTTGCAGTAGAGGCCTGGCAGAGCATCACCAGGGATGAAACCCAATGTCTGGTGATGTCTATGCCTTCCAGACTTCAGGCTGTAATTGACTGCAAAGGATTTGCAACCAAGTATTAAAAAAGTGAAAGTTTGATTTATGATTATTATTCTGTCCCATTACTTTTGGTCCCTTAACAAGTGGGAGGCACATATGCAAACTGTTGTAATTCCTACACCGTTAACCTGATTTGGATGTAAATACCCTCAAATTAAAGCTGACAGTCTGCAGTTAAAGCACATCTTGTTTGTTTTATTTCAAATCCATTGTGGTGGTTTATAGAGCCAAAAATGTTAGAATTGTGTCGATGTCCCAATATTTATGGACCTGACTGTATATATATATATATATATATATAAATATATATATATATATACACACACACACATACACACACAGACACACACTGTATATAAACAGATTCACAGTACTATATTAAAGTTTTAAGCATGTGGGGGGAAAATGCTGTAAAGTCAAAAGGAGAAATATTTGGCTTTAGCAAGAGGCAGTATGTTCACAAAGGTCTAGAAAGTGGTACAATAATGAGTGCCTGAAGGCAACAGTGAAGCATGGTGGAGGTTCCTTGCAAGTTTGAGGCTGCATTTCAAGATACAGGGTCAATTGGATGTGTTATTATTATTAGAGATGAGCGAATCGAACATGGCGAAGTGGAATTCGTTTTGAAGATCAGGAAAAATTCGATTCGCGCCGAATCCGAAAATTAGCAAACTTCGGATGCACGAATCGAATTTTCCCAAAAATGGCGGCGACATGTGTGGCGACGGAGCGGGGATCTCTGGGAAGGCGCGCAGACAAGGCGCGCTGACCCATAATGCATTCATTCATGACGTGATCGCATTAGCCAATCAGCAGCCAGCCAGCCAGCACTGTGTAATGGTGGAGCTATAAATTGCGGCCATCTTAGAATTCTCCATTAGCCTCCGGTCATTCAAGAGAGACAGACCTGTCTGTATTAGGGACAGAGTTAGGGCCACAGAGACTTTAGGGCCACAGAATCGTTACTCAGGGACACAGAATCGTTACTCAGGGACACAGAATCGTTACTCAGGGACAGACACAGAATCGTTACTCGGGGACAAAGAATCGTTACTCGGGGACACAGAATCGTTACTCAGGGACACAGAATCGTTACTCGGGGACACAGAATCGTTACTCGGGGACACAGAATCGTTACTCGGGGACACAGAATCGTTACTCAGGGACACAGAATCGTTACTCAGGGACACAGAATCGTTACTCAGGGACACAGAATCGTTACTTTCTGCTTCACAACCACTATTGAATTAAAGAGTATGTCAGACAACACGCAGAGGAGTGGCAGAGGAGGCAATGTTTCAGGAGCGAGCAGACGTGGCAGCAGAGGAAGGGGTCGAGGCAGCACTAGTCGCAGCCAGAGGCCAGTGCTCCCGGTGTCATCCAGCGGTCGTGTCTCCACCGACAACCCTGCCGTCATCGATTGGTTGACTCGGTCGTCTTCCTCTTCCCAGGTCACCTCTGACACCTACAGCCAACGGTCGGTGGGTACGTCAGACACAACCGTTAGTTGGCATGGCCCGGGAGCAAGCCCACTGAAATCACGTGTCCTCGACCTACCCCTGTCCTTTGGTGTTCCCTCACCAAGCGAAGTATCGCATGCTGTGGGCTCAGCCCCACTGTACAGTGAGGAAGAGCTAACAGAGGGCGGTCAGGAACGGGGGGAGACATCCGCCTCTTCAGCAGCCAGGCGAAGAAGTACTGGCGAGGAGAGTGGCTCGGTAGCCGGTCTAGAGACAGGTCTGTCTCCTGACCCACACGCAGCCGAGGGGGCTAGTAGTGACGCGGAGACCCTAATTGATGATGATGAGGATGATCGCACTTGGCAGCCTCGTCGTCATCAGGCTATTGCTTCCGCATCATCAGGAGAAGAGGGTGCCAGCTTGCCAGCGAGCAAAACAGTCGGTGGGTTGCCCAGGAGGCAGCAGGGTCGCAGCAGTGTCAGTGGAGGCAAACGGCCACGGAGTAGAGCACCAGCTCCACTGCAGCCTACCACCACGGCCAGTAGTGGTGCCGGTGTGCACGGAGGAAGTAGCAGTCAGCCAGTGAGGAGTAGCGGGGGCAAAGTTTCCTACTCGGCGGTGTGGCAATTTTTCGTCAAGCCGCCCGAGGAAGTAAACGTAGCCGTATGTCGACTATGTGGCCAGAAAGTCAAGCGTGGCCAGGGGGCCCATGTTGGGACTACAGCGTTGCGTCAGCATATGCAGCGTCGCCATTCGGTGGCCTGGGAAAACCGTGATAAAGATACGGCGGTTCTGCCTGCCCCAGCCCCCGCTCCATCACCCGCTCCGTTACTTGCTCCGTCACCCGACGTCAATCGCCCTCTATCAGCCAGTCAAGGCTCCAACACCTCTGCTGAGGGGAGTTGTCGCTCGTTGGCATCTTCCGCTCGTTCAGATGCTCCTTCTCCTGCTACTCCTCTTCACGGATTCCGTCAGCAGTCTTTCTTGGAATCCGTTTCCAAGAGACAACAGTTTGCGAGCACGCACCCGACGGTGCAGAAGCTGAACATCCTCCTGTCCAAGTTGCTGGTGCTGCAGTCCCTCCCTTTCCAAGTGGTGGACTCAGCACCTTTCCGAGAAATGATGGCTTGTGCCGAGCCGCGGTGGAGAGTGCCAAGCCGGCATTTCTTCGCCAAAAAGGCAGTGCCAGCCCTGCATTCACATGTAGAAGAGATGGTGGGCCAGTCTTTGAGCATGTCGGTCTCTGCCAAAGTGCACGGCAGCGCCGACGTGTGGAGCTGTAACTACGGTCAGGGACAGTACATGTCATTTACGGCCCACTGGGTGAACGTGGTGCCGGCACAGCCGCACCAGCAACTTGGACAGGTCACGCCGCTTTTGCCTCCACGTTTGCACGTCCTTGGTCCAGCAAAGATGTCCGCCTCTACCACCTCTTCTTCCGCCGTGTCCTCAGCCGCCACCCCCGTGCCAAGTCCCATTACCCGACCGGCATATCACATGTGCAGGGCGCAACGGTGTCACGCTGTGCTGCACCTGGTATGCCTTGGGGAACGTAGTCACACAGGGGAGGAACTTCTGAGTGTAATGAACAGAGAAATCGACAGATGGCTGTCTCCGCGCAAACTGAAAATCGGAACCATGTTGACCGACAACGGAAAGAACATGGTGTCTGCTCTGCGTCAAGGAAGGTTGTGCCATGCGCCATGCATGGCTCACGTGTTCAATCTGGTTGTCAAGTGGTTCCTAAAATCCACCATCCCACTGCAAGACATCCTTAAAATGTCACGTAAACTTTGCATGCATTTCAGCCATTCCTACACTGCAAAGCACACCCTCCTTGAGCTGCAGCGGCAGAACGGAATTCCACAGCATCGCCTGATCTGCGACGTTGCAACAAGGTGGAATTCAACCCTACATATGTTAGACCGCCTTTACGAACAGCGAAAGGCCATCACCGATTTCCTGATGTTACAAGCGGATAAAGGTACTCCCCTGTGTAACTTAGATGTCAGCCATTGGCAGCTCATGCGTGACACCTGCCGCTTGCTCAGGCCCTTTGAGGAGGCCACGCTATTCGTGAGTCGGCAGGACTATGGGATGAACGATGTCATTCCTCTGTTGCACGTCCTGGAACAAATGCTGTTAACAATGGCTGGTCAGGGTGCGGTAGACGTGGCGCACAGATCTCAATGCCACATGACCCCTGTGGGGGCAGGACAGGAAGAAGAGGAGGAGGTAGAGGAGGACATTGGTGCTCAGGAATTATTGAGTGAAATGGGTGGTTTTTCCACTCAGCGGACAGGAGTGGAGGAGCAGGAGCATCTGGTAGAGGAGGAGGAGGAGACAGAGGACCCAGACGCACCGTGGCAGTATGCTGTGGAGATGGAGGCAGGGAGTCCCTCGCATTCCTTGGCACAAATGGCCCATAGCATGCTCGGTTGCTTGCGTAGCGACAGCCGAATAATAACCATCAGACAGAAGGATGACTTTTGGCTGTCCACCTTGTTGGACCCTCGCTACCGTTCAAAAATGGTGGCCTTTTTCACACCTGCTGAGAGGGAGGCCAAAATAACGTACTATAAAAACCACCTATGTAGTCAGTTGGTCTCTGCCTTTCTGCGCCAACGTCCATCCTCAGACACTGTGGGCCCTGTGCGCTCGCGTTCCGCTGCCATGGCAGCAGGGGAGGGGTGGGGTGGTAGGAGCAGTGGCAGCTCCACCAGCAGCGGCTGCCTCAGTCTGCAGTCGATGATGAGTAGCTTTCTTCACCAGCGCAGTGAGGAAACTACTAACCAGCCGCAGCAGCAGCAGCATCAGGTGGACCTGGAGCAGGACCTCAAACAACAGGCTTGGGCCTACTTGGACAGCACCCTGCCAACCGAGGTAGACAATCCCCTTGACTACTGGGCAACGAAACTTGACCTTTGGCCCCAACTAGCTGAATTTGCCCTTGAAAGGCTGTCATGCCCGGCTAGTAGCGTGGCATCGGAGCGCGTGTTTAGTGCGGCAGGAGGTATTGTAACTCCGCAGAGGACACGACTGTCCACCCAAAGTGTGGAGAGACTCACGTTTGTGAAAATGAATCAGGCGTGGATTAGTCTGGATTTCAAACCACCAGTTCCTGACACAACTGACTAAATCCGCCATGAATCATGCCCCAAACATGTTATTATTTTTAACATAGGCCTCTGTATGGCCTTCATTTTAAGCTGCTTACGCTTCGCCACTCTGCCATGGGCCCCTGTACCGCCTCCTCTTGCTGCTGCCAGGTCCAGAGTGTGTCATGGGTCCCTGTACGGCCTCCCATTGCTGCTGTCTCCATCGCCACACTCTGCCATGTGCCACTTTCAGGTCTCCTCACACTGCTGGTGGGTTCCATTTTGTCATAGGTGCTGGCAGATTACGGGCCTCCCATTGCTGCTGCCAGGCCCGTAATCTGCCATGGGCCCCCGTACCGACTCCTCATGCTGCTGCCAGGCCCGTAATCTGTCATGGGCCCCTGTACCACCTCCTCATGTTGCTGCCAGGTCTAGAGTGTGTCATGGGTCCCTGTACGGCCTCCCATTGCTGCTGCCAGGCCCGTAATGTGCCATGGGCCCCCGTACCGACTCCTCATGCTGCTGCCAGGCCCGTAATCTGTCATGGGCCCCTGTACCGCCTCCTCATGCTGCTGCCAGGTCCAGAGTGTGTCATGGGTCCCTGTACGGCCTCCCATTGCTGTTGTCTCCATCGCCACACTCTGCCATGTGCCACTTTCAGGTCTCCTCACACTGCTGGTGGGTTCCATTTTGTAATAGGGTGCTGGCAGATTTCGGGCCTCCCATTGCTGCTGCCAGGCCCGTAATCTGCCATGGGCCCCCGTACCGACTCCTCATGCTGCTGCCAGGCCCGTAATCTGTCATGGGCCCCTGTACCGCCTCCTCATGCTGCTGCCAGGTCCAGAGTGTGTCATGGGTCCCTGTACGGCCTCCCATTGCTGCTGTCTCCATCGCCACACTCTGCCATGTGCCACTTTCAGGTCTCCTCACACTGCTGGTGGGTTCCATTTTGTCATAGGGTGCTGGCAGATTACGGGCCTCCCATTGCTGCTGCCAGGCCCGTAATCTGCCATGGGCCCCCGTACCGACTCCTCATGCTGCTGCCAGGCCCGTAATCTGTCATGGGCCCCTGTACCGCCTCCTCATGCTGCTGCCAGGTCCAGAGTCTCTCATGGGTCCCTGTACGGCCTCCCATTGCTGCTGTCTCCATCGCCACACTCTGCCATGTGCCACTTTCAGGTCTCCTCACACTGCTGGTGGGTTCCATTTTGTCATAGGGTGCTATTATGGCCTCCCATTGCTGCTGCCAGGCCCGTAATCTGCCATGGGCCCCTGTACCGACTCCTCATGCTGCTGCCAGGCCCGTAATCTGTCATGGGCCCCTGTACCGCCTCCTCATGCTGCTGCCAGGTCCAGAGTGTGCCATGGGTCCCTGTACAGCCTCCCATTGCTGCTGTCTCCATCGCCACACTCTGCCATGTGCCACTTTCAGGTCTCCTCACACTGCTGGTGGGTTCCATTTTTTCATAGGGTGCTGTATGGCCTCCCATTGCTGCTGCCTCCACCGCCACACTGTGGCTCCACACTCTGGTTTTGGCCCCGTGACTGCCCAAATGAGTGAAGTGTGCGGTGATTCTAAGATCGACGGCACTCATCTGCATGTCATACTGACTGACAGTATTATTTCTCTTCCCCAGCAGACTCCAAGGGCATTTAAATTAAAGGTACAGTGTTCTGCACTAATATAAAGGCTCTCTGAAGCCTAGAAACACCCTTTTTATAAGTTAAATTCGCAGCGAATATATTCGACTCGAATCGAATTTATTCCACGAATTCGCCGAATCAGCCGAATCGAATTTCTGAATAATTCGCTCATCTCTAATTATTATAATACAGGGTTTATATAGCACAGGGTTTATATATAACAGATTTACAAAATAGAGGGAGACAGTGCAGTTACAATAAATAGAGTTGGAGATCTGCTCAGGATCAATGGTGTCCTCAATGCTGAGGAATACAGGAAGATACTTATGCAGAATGCCATACCATGAGGGAGACATGTGATTGGCCTCAATTTATTCTGCAGGAGGACAAAGACCCCAAATATGCAGCCAATGTCATTAAGAAATATTTTCAGCGTAAAAAAGAAAAAGGAGTCCTGGAAGTGATAGTTGGGCTCCCACAGAGCCCTGATCTCATCATCATCTAGTCTGTCTGGGATTACATGAAGAGACAGAAGGATTTGAAGCAGCCTACATCTACAGAAGTTCTCCAAGATGTTTGGATCAACCTACCTGCCGATTTCCCTCAAAAACTGTGTGAAAAAGAACCTAGAAGAATTGATGTTTTGAAGACAAATATTGATTAAGATTAAATATTGATTTAGATATCTCTTCTGTTCATTTACTTTCCATTTTTTAATTGAAAAGAAAAAAAAATGATCAACATTCCTATTTCTGAAATCATTCTTAATTTACAGCATTTTTTCACACCTGTCTAAAACTTTTGCACAACACTGTGTGTGTGTGTGTGTGTGTATATATATATATTTTTTTTTTTTTTTTTTTTTTTTTTTTTAGAGAAGGAAAGGAGGTGGACCCAGACAAGATTGTCGGCATAAGAATCCTGAGAAGACTGTAGCCCCTCCCACAGGTATTTACGTTGATTTTAACTGAAAGGGTGCACTTCTCAGAGGGTTGAAAGATTTGGACGCATTATCAGCTCACAGGGAACATGATAAAGCTAAAAAAGAAAACCAATACTTCTCTTTTAAACATATTGCAACTAGAGCAAGTGCAATGTCACTATGATGATATTTATATTTCACCAAAACTGTAGCTACTTTGTTTTCAGGATTACCAAATCTGATAATTTCCCATGGATGTGAACTTGGTTATGTCCCGGACAAGGACTTTATTCACTCAATGTATGGGGGAGGTTCTCTTGGTTTATGTCCTCCCCTGGATGGTGCTTTAAATATAGCCAACAGAGGGCGGTGAAGCCATTATCTTCATCATCTCCATATGCCGCTATTATAGACTTCCTCCTCTGGACTACATGCATATACCAATGTATTATCTGGGACTTCCCATAGTCATCCTCAATAGAACATGGCTGACTTACAGTCGAGTAGAAGAGGGAGGCTTATATAGCCTGCAACATCCTCCCATGGATTACACAACTATACTTCTATATGAGATTCCAATTCCTTTTCATGGTGACTTCTTCTGATTGGCGCGCATATATATATATATATATATATATATATATATATATATATGATATCGAGCATATTCCCTTCATAAAGAGGACTGTGAATAACAAACTTCTGAAGTTCTATATATAGAACACAATGCAATTTATATGGAGAGAGATATGATGTTACCAGCTTGTTTGTCCATTTAGGCATTCCCCCCTCTTTGCTGGGGGATGTCACCTGGGACCTGTGCGGTGTGGTATGTTTTGTTCTGTTTTTAGAAATGTCTATACCTTATAAAGAAACCACTGTGTGCTATTGACCACCAGCCCATTGCAATTATTGTTTTTCAATATGAATATGCATAAACAAACCCATGCCCTGGTTGAGTCCATAACTAATCGAGATTTTATGCAGTTTTTCATTGTGTAGGTGATTAGGGACTCCCGGTTCACTCAGTTTAACTAATTTACCCAAGGACCTTGAGGCTCCCATTTGGAGGTTTTAAAAATGCTTGACAAGGCGTTTGGGTGCAATTATTTTTAATTGGCACCCCAACTGCAGTGCAATTTAGCTGTGATTGTCGCACAGCAAAATGCACATTTAAAAATTGGGCAAAAACCATTGCCCAAAAAAGTGCATGAGCTTCTTTTGCATGTCAAGTGTGCATAGGACAGCCCATTCAAGTGATGCATGATACACGCAATCGCATGAAAGTTGTGCACACAAAATCATGAGCAGGAAGGCTCGTTCCAGCTACGCAATATGTGAATGGGGCCTAAGAGTAACAGAGTCAAGGAATATATGTTGTTGGTTACAGTAAAACTAGTACAAAGTCTCAGCAGAAACCTTAGTTCTGGCCTGGGCTTCGGACAGACAGAGGTATGGTACAAGTATATGCCACAGATAGAGGATCTTCCCTGTAACTGAAAATATCACCATTACAAAAGTGGAGGGAGGTGAAAGAGCTTAATCATTTCTCTTTACTTCAGACCCACCTTTGGGCCACAACTTACTGTCCAAAATCAATCAACAGGTTTAATGCAGGGGATTAGAAATTTCATATTCAGTTGTAGAGGGAAACTCAATCCAATAAAACCAGGTTCAGCTGAATCGTGTATGCTTCTGTCAGAAGGTATAAGGTCCTCTATGCACTGGATTTCATTTACTTTTGCTACTGTATACACTGAGTTATGGAGGATATTTTTTATTTTTAGTCAAATTAAGAAAGTTCCAAGGCAGTCAGCTACTTCTTTGCTGTTTCACTTAGACAGCTCATAGCACTCTGGGAATGCTGTGATATGTAATAAGTGTTTATTTTTTAAAAGATTATATTCCTATTTTAAAGGTCAGTTAAAGGATAAGTTCACCTTTGGAAATATGTTACATGTTCCAAACAATTCTGCAGCCAATGCCCACTGCCCCCCCCCCCCTCCCCGTGACAGAAGTATGGAGAGAAGTTCCCCATACAAGCTGTCACATTTTTAAAAACACAGCACGGTCGTACGGGGTTCCGCTCACATGGCTGTGTCATTCATTCACAATCTTCTTTGAATGAACTAAAAGTCCCAACAGTAGCTGTTGGCTTGTAGTTCTCAATGAACTACCAATTCACTGTGGATCTATTTGCTTGCCCATGCATCCCTTACAGGCAAGCAAATATACTGACAGGTCTGCAGGACACTGGATCTGCTCATCGCTGGTGCAATGGTTTGCAGGCTCCGGCAGCACAAAAAAAAATAAGTGCACATATTTTTTTTTTTTATCTCCAAAAAAAGTGCATTTATTATTTTTGGTCAAAAGGTGAACTTATCCTTTAAAAAAGACATATAGAAAAATAAAAGGGGCCTAAAACCACTATACTTGTATTAATCAAAGGGTAAAGTTCCCATTGAAATGTACTGAAATTTCATGTTTAACACTACAACATTTGGTCAAATCCAGAGGGAGTAAAAACATATTTAAAGCACTGAATTATATATGCTTGAATATTTTCGGATGCATAAAAAGAAACATTTATAGGCATTTCCAAGCTCTCCTCCGACAGATACAAAAGATTATAGTGGGTCTTCATTACAGTTCAAGTTAAGAGTGGAGATAGTAAATAGAGTGCGGAAGGGTTATGAATCCCACCATTTATTTTTTCCTGTTCCCACTGAGGTCGACTCACCCTTTCTATATATCCTAGTGACCACAGTCAGTGGCAGAGCATTAGAGGGAAGGGAAAATCCAAAAGTTTGCATTGTCACTAAAGCAGGAATTAGAGGTGAAATCTATCAATGGAAACCCGTGATCCAGTGACCTAATCTCTTTGGCTAGGTTTCCATAAGTAGGAAAATCTTCAGCTACAAGAGGTTTCTAGAATTAATAACAACAACATGATATTAAAGCAGAGCTCCAGGCTCCACCCATAAAAAAAATAAGTCAGCAGCTACAAATACCGTAGCTGCTGACTTTTCATATAAGGACACTTATCTGTTCAGGGATCCAGTGATGGTCCTCACCTGAGCAGATTCTTCAAGTAAGGAAATCAGCAGAGAAGCCTTACGGCTTCATAGTCCGTTTCCTACTGAGCGTGTGCGAAGCACCCTGCACTTTGGTAATGGGTCACAGTCTTCTGGAACCTGTGCGGGGGAAGATGGAGGGGCGAACATCCGATGCAGGTCGCCATGGTGCATCTGACGGAAGTGGGAGCGGGTACCTGTCAAAACCAGGTACCCACTGCCCCTCCCCCCAAAAAAAGTGCCAAATGTGGCAGCAGAGGGGAGTAGGATGCAGGCAAGTGGAACTTACCTTTTTGGGTGAAGTTCCGCTTTAACATCATCTGTATAGGTGACATCTTACTAAAGGTATAAGACTGCCTTGCTTTTGGGATAAACAAAAAACCTACTTACCAATGAATTTGACTAGGGGAATTAGTTACAACCCCAACCAAGTTTCTAAGATCACTAAACAATTCAAAAAAGGATTTCCCAGCCAACTTCTATTATTTACCTGAGAGAAGTCTAGAAGGGTCTGCCCTGTACAATTGGAGTAACCATCACACATTACAGCCATAGAGAAATATGGTATAAAATGTATATATACATACACACACACACACACACACACATAAATATATATATACACACACACACACAACAACACACACAGTACTCAGCATAAATGAGTACACCCTTTTTGAAAAGATTTTAATCAATATCTCAATGAACACAAGAACAAATTCCAAAATTTTTACAAAAAAGAGTTTTATAGAACATTTGTTTAGCTCATTACATGAAAGTAAGGTTATTAATATAACTTAGGTTACAAAATCTGCAGTTTTACTCAAATTAATTGATGCAAAAATGAATACACCCCGAAACAAAAGCTACTAAATCTAACATTTTTGTATGATCTGCATGATTTGTAAGTACAGCACCAAGTCTTCTAGGCATGGAATGAACTAGTTGGTGACATATTGTAACATCCATGTTTTTCCATTTTTCAAAAATGACCCTTTTTAGAGCCTGGATGCTGGATGGATAGGATTGCCCATCTTTCTCTACAGAA